TTTGTAGAGATCATGGCAATATGGGATTTCCAAGACAATGTTTCATCTATGAGAATACCTAAAAATTGATTATTTGAGACTTTTTCAATAATTGTTTGATCAATATATAATGGTGGAACTTGATTTTTCAATTCTTTTTTGTTGCACTGAGCTGTTCTAAAAAGAATACATTTGGTTTTGTCTAAATTAAGCAATAGTTTATTTACCTTTAACCACAGAGATACATTCTTCATGTGTTCATTAAACTGGTCTATCAGTGAGTATAAGTTATTATGGCTTCAAAACAAAGAAGTGTCATCAGCAAACTGTACAAATTTTAAGGAATGAGAAGAGTTGCATATGTCATTTATATATAAAAGGAAAAATAGGGGCCCTACATTTGACCCTCGTGGAATTCCAGATTTAATCAGTAATTTAGTAGAACTGTGTCCATTATATTCAGTAAATTGGTACCTTTGTAAAAAATAACTCTTAATCCAATTCAACGCAATACCTCTGATACCATAATTAACTAATTTATTAAAGAGAATGGAAAAATCAATGTTATTAAACGCCTTACTCAGGTCCATAAAGACATCAAATATAAACTGTTTTGAATACAAGGCATTAACAATTATATCATAAACAGATATTAAAGCATGGTCAGTAGAATAATGGGTTCGAAATCCAAATTGATTATCATGTAATATATGGTGTTTAGATACAAAATTGTATATACGATCATAGACTAATCTGTCCGTGATTTTTGAAAAGCATGACAAAAGTGATATAGGACGATAATTACCAATAGTGTGCTTATCCCCCTTTTCAAAGATTGGGATAATTTTGGATACTTTTAGTTATGAGGGGACTATTCCTATTTGGAGATAGAGATTAAAAACATAAGCTAAAGGTTTTGTAATAACATATCTGACATACTTGACAATATCTGGACTAATATCGTCCCATCCACACCACTTTCCATTTTTAAAAGAGTACATTATTTTCAAAATTTCATCTTCATTAATAGGTTTCAGAAATAAACTTCCCTTCATCGGAGATATCATAAAAGAGGAGAAATTTAAATCTTTACAAGTAGTTGCATCAATGGAAGAAGCTAGTTTTGGTCCAAATTGTTAAAATAATCGTTAAAAACACTGGATATCAATTGCGGATCATTTAGTGTTCTTCCTTCGTGTATAAAGTGTTGTGGTAAGATGGGTTTTCATTTTTTTAAATATATTATTAATCAATCGCCATGTTTTCTTGAGGTCAGTTCTACAATCATTACACCTTTGATAAAAATACATTTTTATTTGCCTTTCTCAATTCAGACAACAGATTCGAATCTTCTTATATTTGTCTTCATTTTCATATGTAGGATTACAGCAAAACCTTTTATAAAGTTTGTTCTTCAATCTTATTTTAGTCAACAAGTTTAATGATACCCATAACTTTTTGTTTTTATTTTTCTTATTACTCCTAACAAAAATGAATGATTCATTATAATGCCTTTGAAAGTTGGAGAAAAAAAATATCATAGGCAACACTGGGATCTTTACTTCTATAAATATCTGCCCATTCTTCAGAAGGTAACTTGCGGAAAAATTACTTCTTTGTTTTATCTTTGATTTGTCTTATTTTCTTTTCATACTCATAACATGTTTGAGCATTATTTAGTATTACAAAAAGAATTAAGTGTTTTCTTGATGTGTAACCGATTATTAACCACGGCAATGGCCGTGGTGGTCATATCCACCATCAACTTCATGACAAAACAAACAGATTATGATAGCTGAGGGTCCTAGATAACAAGTGTATATTATTTGATATGGGTAATATTCTGCTTTTTTATATTTTGTGTTGATTATTTACCTTTATTTTTTTATTCACTGAAGTCAACTTCTTTAATATTCAGTTTACATGGCAACGGACATATTTTGTAAAAGACCGTGGCTTCAAATGATTTATCTCTTTTTTGTTATAAACAGACGGTCTGCTAACACTATTATATGATTTTCGTTTGTTTCATCTTGTTGAAGAATAATTGTAGCATTTTCTACAATTAAAATATTTCTTGATCTGTTAACACAGTAACGGCCTAGCGGTCACGTCCATCACCTACTTAATGGCAAACAAACAGATTACGATAGCTGAGGGTCCTAGCTAACAGAAAATCATCATTTAGACTTATGCAAACATTTATTTAACAATATATTCATTCGTTTCAGGTACTTTTTTTTAATACAAACGTCAATATTTTCTCACTGTTTCCATAGCAACAACAATTTTTAAACATGACTGATACATGCATAATCAAGTGAGAAGCTTAAAATATAAATATGAACATGTTTTAAATGTGTTTCTAAATTTCTAAATTACACATTTATGACTTGATCCGTTACCATGGTAATAGCCCTAGTTGTCACACCGATCTCAAACTTTAGGGCAAACAAGAACATTCTAATAGCTAAAGGTTATACTAGAAATACTAAATTAAAGATCAGGGCTGTGGCCTTTTCATTTATTGGCCAATGGAATAATATTACCAATATTGTTATCCACTCAAATTGCGTATGTAAAAAAGCATCAACTCGTTTGGCATAGAATAACATGATTTATTTTCCATCACATTATCTGATCATTTCTTTTTATCTGTGTGGCACGACTACATATATTATATGTTTAATCTACCCATCTTTTTTTTAACCTTGTACTGATACACAACATTTAGTAAAATCTGTAATTAACTAAGCTGTGTTTATATAAAATGTGATTAAGAAAGCAGGTAGTAATTCAACATTTAATTGGAGTGGTGTATATGAACTCATGAGTAATCAGTTACGAGGCCATTGCTTTGTCACTGAACCATGACTGTACGCAGCGGGGGCTAGGGTAGGGGGCAGTTTCCATAAATTTAAAAAAAGAAAAGAAAATGCAATAAATTTTCAATAATTTATTGCATTTTACCCCGGTCCCCAAAATAAAAAAAAAATCCTCTGGGTGGCCATGCATTATGGCTCAAGTCATCTGCACACAGAGGATTTGTTAATGTTAGGAACTGGGGTAAAATGCAATGAATTATTGAAAATTTATTGCATTTTCTGTGTTTTTATTTATTTATGGAAACTGCCCCCTACCCTAGCCCCCGCTGCGTACAATCATGGTTCAATGATGGTTCAAAGCAATGGCCTCGTAACTGTGAGGCCCCAGGATCAAATCCGTGTCGATGTGCTATATTAGTGCCCTTTTGTGGGGCATTAATCCTCATTACTGTCATTTATGACTTAAGGGCGTAGGTCCCTAGTTGATAAGCATAGTAGCATACACATGCTTTAGCAGTCACGCAAAACACACATTGGGAAATTATTATTCAATAAAATTTGAGAATGTATACTATTATCTAGATCTATTAGGAATAAATTATTTTAAAAATAATTCCATAAATTGGGGTAAAACAAAAATATTCCAACTATATGAGCGACAGTGTAAATAGCGAATATTTGAATTCAAAGTTCATTGTATCAATGGTACAAATAGATAGACGTGGAAACAGAGCAGTGAGTAATTGTAATTGAATGATTAATATTTGATTTTGGCAAAAAAGCTTCAGCTGAACTGCAGTAACAATGCATGGTTGTACTATTAGAGCCAGAGGGCGACCATGGGAAATGATGGTTATCTCTTGGGTGGTTTCAGTTCATAGTAAATCGGCTTCGTGCCAGGGTGATGTCTATCTTGTGTAGGCATTTTGAATTAGGTTTAAATCAGTCACACTCACTGATACTTAAAATTGGTCTTGATGTTTACAATATTTTGGCGAACTGTATAGGTTTAAATCATAATGCAGGTTTATTCTCAAGATGATTATAAAAGCACAGTAATCTTGTAGTTCGGTAAAATTGCTCTGGAAGCAATCACATTAAATATGCTTTTAATCATGTGTCTTTACACTGGTAAAATTTGTTGATTTTTCTATCATGGAACAGCATATTTTCTATAAGAATCTAAATTTGAAATGACTCATATAAGAATTGAATTTGGTTTAATCATTTTAATTCTACTCTTTCAATTTTCATATTATTTGATAGCAATTCTACCATAGTGGGTTATTCTGATTGAATCATTCCAAATTCCTAAAGACGGAGGCATGTTATCAGAGGATAATGATGGTGGCTAGTGAGAATGCAAATACGGGGATCTGTCTGCCATTTTATGATAATGATAATATTCTCGAAGTTCTTACTCAATTCCATTGTGGTCTGTGGATGGAGATACAGATTTTCGATGGTTAATAGATAATGTGTCAGCGTTACTAGCTGATGGAAATTATATTTCATGTTATGACAATATTGATTGTTATTCATCAAAATCTGTTTATTTACATTCATCAATATTATAAATGACTGAAGTATTAATTGATTGATATTCTCCTGTTTCTTGCAGGGCTTTGTTTTGGTTTCGCCTGATGACAAAATAAAACGATGAACTAAAAATACACCACGTCTACACTTTCCTTCATTGGAAGTTTACCCACGACATTATCATCCGACAAATGTGGATCCTTCCTATTTCAGAGGTGATGTATTGACGTCATGGCAAACGGCTTAATCTTATACCCAGTGCTCATCGCTTGTCTCCTCGTCAGCTCTTCCTTTCAATCTTTATATCGACACGATGGAGATTCGGTGATGACATACTTAACACTGGACATAGACATATCTTTCCAGGGATGCGATCAGAACCTTGAACTGAAACAAGCATCTTGCAGCAATAAAGATCTAAAGACGGTTCCCCAGGATCTCTCTGGGGATACCGAGGTGCTTGACTTGTCTCATAACAATATCACCAAACTCTTGAACTCCTCGTTTGAAGTATACCCTCTAATTAACTCCATGGACATTTCTCACAACGATGTAAGATCGATAGAATCGGGCGCTTTTTACCCCCTAAAGGGCTTAATTAGCCTGTCTCTATTGATGAACCAGCGTTTTGTGCTTCCAGCAACAGGCGTCTTTATGATGTCTTCACAGCTTTCCATGCTCGATTTAACGAAAACAAACTTGGCGTCGATCCCCAATGACATTCTAAAATGGAGTCCACACCTAGATCTTGTTGTTCTGTTCATCAACCGGCTCTCCTTCATCAATGTGAGTTATTGTGGAATGGCCGACCAGGTATACATGGATACTAATCAAATAAAACACCTTACAGCGGGAAATTTCACCTTTGTGTGCAACACTAATATTCTAGATCTTAGACAAAACCCAATCCAATCCGTAGACCCTGATGTGATCGCATCATTACATGTTCGCTGTTTGATGCTAGGTGGCTACCCTTTGAGTGACGAGGTGTTAACGAACATCATCCTCGGCATCTCAAAATCAGACATCGATAAGCTTATAATCCAGGAAGGCTCTGTCGGTGCGTTTCCTAAAGGTTTCTTTGATCCACTGCGCGATTCTTCTCTCTCTCTTCTGTACTTAGAAAAAAACAGACTTAAAAGCCTCCATCCTTTAGTCTTCTCGAATTTAACAAAACTCAAAGAATTAGTTTTCTATCATAACGAACTCCCCATCGAGAAAATTCAACCAGACTTTTTCGAGGGCATGAAGGCATTAAAGGTACTAATAATCAACGACAACCAAATAAAACAAATAAATCCTCAAAACCAGACTTGGACAGTTGACTTATCGGAGTTAGACTTATCCGGTAATATGATTACAAACATATCTACATCTGTATTTCTGGGTTTAGGAAACTTAACTTTCTTAAACATGAGCAATAACAAACAACTTTCTATCTTTGAGCTGAAGGCCTTTTCGGGACTTGACAATATTCAAACCATTGATTTGTCCGGATGTCAGTTATATAGAATTCTGGAATTGAATACCCCAATATTAAGATCACTTTTCCTTAACTCTATTAATCCGTCAAACGACGGGGTTAGTATCGGACCAGCCTCGTTTCAACATTTACATTCCCTTGTTAATTTAGACATGAAAAACTCTGGGCTTGACATTTCGAAAAACATATGGAACGAAAACGCGTCTCTTTTCGATGGATTGTTGCATCTTAATCATTTGGATTTGAGTAGAAACCCTTTCCCGAGTTTTTTACCGCCAGGGATATTCCGGCAACTCTCCGTTTTACAAGAGCTAAATCTAGAATATTGCCAAATTGGAAATCTACATCCTCTTATCTTCTCGGGGTTGGAATCGCTTCAGAAGTTGAGTTTGAAAGGAAACAACATCCAGCATATTCATGACGATGTATTGTCGGGGTTGGGTCAAGTAAACATTATCGACTTTGAAGGAAACCAGATCATATACTTGGATGAGCTAATGTTCTCAAATAACCGGAATCTCACAAATCTTTCTTTGGCCGACAACAAATTAACGCGCTTTAATCAAAAGACTTTCAAGCCGATCTTTTCCTCCATTTCTTCACTTGATCTATCAATGAACCCAATTGATTGTAACTGTGATCTAAAGTGGCTTATTGATTGGATAAATAAACCTATACACCTGATAGACAAGGACAAAACTATTTGTTCGTCAGAATCTCTGGAGCCTTTTCGTGAGAAACCCCTGCTTGATGTTGATCCAAATGAACTCTGTATAATAAATGGTATGTTGTTTCTGATTCCCCTTGCCTCCATTGGCTTGGTTGTAATCAGCGTGATGTTGTATCACTACCGATGGCAGTTGAGGTACAAACTCTTTCTCTTAAAACTGGCCGCAGTGGGCTATAAAGAGATGCGAGACGCTCGAGAACACAATGACTACGAGTTTGACGTGAACATCATTTTCTACGACGATGGCGAAGATGACGAAGAATGGATTCGCGAACAGCTCCGACCGGCTCTCGGAGAACGGCTACCACAGTTTCAGAGGAACGTCTTCGGTGACGAAGACCTTGTATTGGGTATGCATTATTTAGATTCCGTTGATTACGTAGTTAGCCACAGTTACAAGACCATCATAGTGCTTAGCAGAGCTGCTGTGCAAGACCGCTGGTTCATACTCAAGTTCCGGACGGCCATGGACCACGTGAGTGACACTTTGACTGAATTTGTAGTCGTGGTCTTCCTCGAAGACATCCCAGATGACGAAATGCCATTCTTGGCGCGGTTGTATCTCAATGATGGCAGACCCTATATCCACTGGACTGAGGACGCAAGAAGACAAGAATGTTTCTGGGATGAATTGACCAAAAATCTGACCATGAATCTAAGGACAAATGACTTGATCCCAAACGAGTAGCATAACAGTCATGTAGGAACCTAGAGAAACGTTTGATGGTTATCAGTGAAGAAAGTGTCATAGTAGTAGTAGATTAATCGCTCTACTAATATTGTTACTGTTATACATAATTGTCTTCATTATGATTAATTTTTATTTTAATCAATATCCCCATCCTCATCATCATCATTATTAATATTATCATTGTATTATTATTATTAATATTATCATTATGATTATTATTATCATTGTTAACATCATCATCGTCGTCATCATC